GTCCCAGTCCTGCTCCATCGTCAACCCCGAAACCCGCGCGTTGTGGTGGTAGCCCCCATAACTCTCCATTACGCCACGCCCCGAGGCCTGCAACGCCTACTGCTGACCTATACTTTCAGGTGCCCACGCTGCCCCACAATGGTGGCGCCGAAGTCTGACATCCGAGGCCCGCCACGCCTCCATGACTACTACGCTGCCCGAGGCCTGCCACGCCTCCTGAGGATGCGCCGCTTTTCCGTGACTGAAGGAGTTGGCCTTGCCCGCTCCCGCTCGAGGTTCACGTGGGCATCTGCTGCGCAGCTTGCATGCGCTGCTGAACTGAGTACGACTGCACTTCGTCGTTGTCCAACGGGTCGCCGAAGTAGCCGAAACCGAGCTCGCTGTCCACGAAGAGCTGCCACTGGTGCTGCCTTCATCGCCCCCACTGTCAGGATCAGGTCCACGTTCTGCTAACCGACCTTCCCGCCGATCGCGTCGTCGCCCAGCGCGCCCGAAGTTGCGGAGGCTCCCGCCCGAATCGAGGATGTCCTGCTCGCGGCTCATGGCGTTCTCGTGCATGGCTACATGGTTGGCGTACTCGTCAAGGTCGCGTGCGCGCAGCCAACTGAGCAGGTCGGCGCATTGGCGCCGCGCACGCTGCCGAGCTCTGAAAGCTATATCGCAGATATCGGCGGCCAGGCCGATGGCTGCAATGTGGTAGCGAGCGTGCCTGCCACGCGTGGCTCTCTCGAACACAACGGCCGTATACCCGCACGGGCGAGGTAGTTGGCCACGCACGGCACGCAGTGCCTCCTCCAGCTCATGCCGCCCGATGCCTCGTCCAGCGTGCGCGGGTCCGTGATCCAGTGGTTGTTAATGCCACACAGTATCCTACTCAGCTTGCGCCTGTGATTAAGCGCCTGTTGCCTGTCAGGATCCATGTCCCTCCAATGCTCAAAGTCGGGTCGTCGCCTGCCGAGTCGTCGTCGTCCTGCCGCATGCTTGCTGCGCCGTGGGCCCTGCCGTCACGTCGTGGTGGGCCTTGCCCCCTGGAGGCCCCCCACTGGCGATGGCGTTGCCATGCCACTTACGCCACGCTCTGGAGGGGAGGTCCTCGGTCAGGTTCCCGAGGACACCGGCAGCCCCACCTCCCACGGCCATAGGGCGGGCCGCTCCTGGTGCTGGTGTTGGCTGGTCGTACGACCAATTACCGCGGTGGGGGAGCTCGACCAGGCTGGTGTAGCCTGGGCTCAGGGATGTGCATGCGGTCGGGGATTCATCATATCCTGCTCTGCTGTTGTCGAAGGACTGACTCTGCAACAGGTCGCCGTCCACGCATACGCCCATGTTGTAACCGGCGATGCCAAAGCCCATCTCCCAATCACGGGGGGAAGCCGAGGCCGATCGTGTATTCCACTGCGCGTCAGCACAGTGCCACATCTGGTAGAAGGCGGTCCACTCGGCCCACGATCGAGACGATGTAGGATGCAAAATCGAGCGGCCGCCGTCAGCTTCAAGTGGCCCGTTGAGGTAGCTGCCCCATTCGCACGTCGCTCTGGCACTCGACGGAGTAACCCACCATTGCTGACGCACGTGTCCTGGAGGCTGTGCGGCGTTAAGCCCCTGCTGTCCTGCGTCTGCTGGGCCGCGAGACCCAGCGCTGCCGCGGCCGCCGCCCTTCGCCAGCCTCGCCCGCGCAGCCGCCAGCACGTCATCGGCAGCCTCGTCGCCAGGTGCCTGAGCTGTGCCGCAACTGGGCCCGCTGGGGGTGGAGCCGCTGCTGCCTGCCTCCGCTGCGCTGGTCGCAGGCGACGGTGGCTTCGGAGGAGGTGGAGCTGCTGCCGCAGGTGCCCTCTGAGGCACCTTTGTCTCCCCATTGTCAGCGTCCGTGGTCTTCCTCTTCTTGGCGACCAGGCGGTCCTTGAGCGCCTTCTGCTGCTTCTCCAGCTCCCGCGCCTCCGATGCGAACTTCCAGATCGCTGCCTGCGCCATGTCCTTGAACTTAGACTGCAATTCGGCCTTCCTTTTGGCAACCTCCTCGCGATCGGACTCCTGGATCTCGTAGTCGTCCAGCGCCTCCAGTCCGAAGATGCCGTCGTGGTCGAGTTCGAGGTCGTGCCCGTCGAGCAGGTGTGCGATGGAGAGGCGCCCCATCTTGCCGCCGTCCTTATCCTTCTCCTGGGGCGGGGGGAGGAGGAGGAGGTTTAGGAGGAGGAGGAGGAGGAGGAGGAGGAGGAGGAGGAGGAGGAGGAGAGAGGAGGAGGAGGGCGAGGAGGAGGAGGAGGAGGAGGAGGAGGGAGGAGCGAGGAGGAGCGAGGAGGAGAAGGAGGAGCGAGGAGGAGCGAGAGGGGGAGCGAGGGGGTGGAGCGAGGAGGAGCGAGGAGCGAGGAGGAGGAGGAGGAGGAGGAGCGAGGAGAAGGAGCGAGGAGGAGCGAGGAGGAGGAGGAGGAGGAGGAGGAGGAGGAGGAGCGAGGACCTTCCCCGTCCTACCCGGGGCCGTGGCGGTAGAAAGCCAGCCCCTCCGCCTGCTTCCGCCGAGGGCGAGACGCGCCGAGGGCGAGGCCCTGCCTGGAGCGGCTGGCTGAAGGATCTCCGTCGAGGCCCGCGCGCCCTCGGGATCGGCCACGCGCCGGGGTGACCCTTGCCGAGGTCGGCGGCGAGCGAGGGGGGGGAAGGGAGAAGGAGAAGGCCTTCTCAGAAGGCGCGAGGGCTTCTGAGAAGGCCTGCATGTCCCCTCCTGGGAAGGCCTTCTCCAATTCACTTCCCCCCTCGCTCGCTGCCGACAAGGGTGACCGCTAGTACGCAGCCAAGGGGGGGGGCCTTTGGGGACACCACCAGGCGCGCAAGCTGCTGCTACAGTCGGATTTCATTGGACAGGACACGCGAGAGGACAAATGACCCTTCCGAGGGTCACATTGCCATAGGAATGCGGGAGGCACGGGTCGCGAGCCACAGGACACAAAGGTACCCTTGATTTGGCGGGGTCGACCCACTAATCCGGGCCGACTGTATCGCATCGCCCTCAGCAATCCAATCCGGGGGCCCCGTTGGGCCCGCACCAACGGTCACTCTGGCGAGAGGTCACTCTTGCGTGTAGTCGACGGGAGGCAGCCACTCCATCGGCCCAGGGGAACCTCCCCGCGCCGGCCTGCCGGCCGAGGGCCGCCCGCCGCACTGGAGGCTGCGACCAGGCGCCGCCTCGCAGGCACGCGCCTCGGAGCCGGAGCGAACGGCAGAGCCCCCGCACGCACACGGGGGCCAGAGCAAGCTGAGGGCCAGACTGCACGCTTGCCCCAGCGGACCGGATCGCACACCCTCCGCCTTGGATCCAGGCCACTGGCGAGCCTCGCCATCGCTCGGACGTCCGTTCCCCGTGCACGCTTCGAGCTCATGCGTGCTCCTTGGGCTCGATGATCCAGGATGCTGCTCGATGGTCCTCGCCGAAAACGTACGCACGTCCGCGCGATGCCAAGGAGCAGTTACTTTGCGTGTAGCAGAACGCGCTTGTCGAACCCTGGCGGGGAGGCTGCGCTCTGGGTGGTCGGAGCCCTGCGCGCGCCGCGCTGCCGGGCGTGCTCTCACACAGGTGCCAACCGCAGGCACCGCGGGAGCCCGCCTGCCGCTTCCGAGTACAATCGGACCTAGGACAAAAGAACATCAAGAAAATGAGACCCTCCGCCGGCCAAAACACACAGAACATCCAAGGGTACCCTCCCCAGGATGCACCAGAAAATCCACAACAAGCACGAAGAACAGGAGGGCACCCTCCCCGAAGCGATTTCGATCTTACACCTCGGTCCGACTGTGAGACGAAACCAGGACGAGGACAAATTCGGATGAGGATCACTCGAGAAAGTCTGAGGTCCAGCGGCGCTGGAGGATGGCTCGGGCGCCGCGGCATTTTCAGAGCGCTCCAAAACGCTCTGAGCGTTCCGGAACGCTCTGGAACGATACATCCTCATCCGAGCCCCGCCCGACAGAGCGCCAGCCGGCGCGGCGCACTTCAGCGCGCTCTTGAAAAACGCACCTGCCAGCAGTCTGGCTACCGCGGGTTCGTGTCGCGCCGACTTCGCCGTTGGTTTCTGACATCGTGGGGATCCTTCGACCTTGAACGATCGGCCGCTTCCGAAACGTCAGATCGCTCAATATAAGCCGACTCTGGGTCGCTGGCGGCGTTCAACGTTGAAAGCGGGCAGCGGGGTCGCCGCCGATCGACACGACACGAACATGCCGCATTCCGCGATCAGGCCGTCTTTACCGACAGCTGGGAGGCCTTCGAGTGAGGCCACGCGGGCCCCGCAGGCAAGCTGCTCGGTGCCCGCGACTCTGGAGCAGGACAGGCTGGCATGCAAGAAGGCCTCGTACACGAGGCAGCTGGATTCACATGTGGAACGTCCCGAGGCCACGCGCTGGATACACGTGCAGAAGCCTTGCGTGCCCGGCCATAAGAAGGGAGAGAACTGGAACAACATCTGGCCACATGTGCATCCAGCTCTCACCCAGGCCGACCGCGCCATGCGCTTCCAGCATCCAGGAATACCAACAGGGAGGAGCGTGGGGCCGAGATGACCTGAGGTAGCAAAGAGAGCACTCGTTTGGAGCCGCGGAAGCGCAGCCACAGATTCCGCGCCCCACCCCTCTCCCCCTCCTCCTCCTCCTCCTCCTCCTCCTCCGCCTCCTCCTCCTCCGCCTCCTCCTCCTCCTCCTCTTCCTCCGCTTCTGCCTTCTCCTCCTCCTCCGCCTCGGCCTCCTCCTCCTCCTCCTCCTCCTCCTCCTCCTCCTCCTCCTCCTCCTCCTCCTCATCATCATCATCATCATCATCATCATCATCATCATCATCATCATCATCATCATCATCATCATCATCATCATCATCATCATCCTCCTGCTCTTCCTCATCCTCCTCTACCTCCCCCTCCTCCCTTCTTCCTCATCCTCGTCTGCTACCTTCCTTCCTCACCTTCCTCCTCCGCCCCATCATCTTGCTCCTCTCCTCCTTCCCCCCTCCCTCTCCTCCCAACCTTCACGGTGCCGGGGCTCATGCCCCACCCCTGGGCGGTGCGGATGATGCTGCGGTCCAGCCTGATCTCGAACAGGATCGCCCATATCACCACCGCGGCTCCAAACCCGACCTTGACTGCGTACTTGACGTAGCTGTCCACGGGCCCAGCTCCCCACTGCCTGAGTACGTGCGTAGGCACGTCCACCCAGCTCAGGCAGGCTGCGATCAGGCCCAGCAAGAACAGGGACCGCACGTAAAAAACAAAGAAGTGAAAGTAGAAGCCTATCTTCTCCCCGAAGTAGTCCCTGATCTGCCTGGGGAGGAGGGGCTTTCCGTTGCAGCGCAGCGGCAGGAAAAAGTGCTCCTCGAGGCCTCTCAGTTCGTGGAGGCCGGCCGCAGGGAAGTGGGCCACGATGAACTGTTGGCGGGCCAGCTCGTCCAGGTCGAAGAGGCTGGACAAGTGCTGGTAGGCGATGCGGATCAGGTCCACGCGCCGGAACGGCTGGAGCTTGCCGGCCTGGGCGGGGGGAGCGACGCAGGGCGCCCAGCGACTGCGCGCGCCAGGATCGGGATCGGGATCGGCGCTTCGGCAGTCTGAGTCCGCTGGGCAAGCTCGAGGAAATGGGCGCTCATCATGGAGCGCCAACAACTGCCAGCAGTGAATCACTCGGGGGCCCTGGGCGCGCCCGAGGGACCCTTGGGCCACAAGACCCTGCAGGGCCCTCGTGGGCTCTGAGGCGGTCCCTGCGGAGGACTCGGAAATCCGGGGCTCAGCACGAAGCACGAAGCACGAAGCTTGCCGCGGTTGGCCGCGAGGGCCCGGCAAGATGGCACCGGAGCACCAAAATGCAGAGCTCGGGCATCGGCACTCAGACGTCTGCGAAAGGGCTGCACAGAACGGGTTCTCTGCTGGGGGTGTGCCGTGCAGCACGCGGTGCCGCTTGGAGACCCAAAAAGGCGGAGGAGGAGAAGGCGGCGAGGGGAAGGGAGGCGGAGGCGGAGAGGAGGTGAGGGGAGGCGAAGAGCAAGCGGAGGGCTGGGGGGAGCAGGGGCTCCAACTGCGCTCCAGGATACGCGGAAGAGGGGGAATCGGGCCTGACAGAGCCTCACGAGAGAGAGTCTCACGAGAGAGAGAGAGAGAACATACAAATATACATATACATATATATATACATACATATATATATATATATATGTATATATATGGGCCATAAAAGACGCAAAGACGAGGAAAGAGAGGAAAGAAAGAGAGAGAGAGAGAGAGAGAGAGAGGCAGGCCCGAGCTGAATCGAATCGCTAAATCGGATCGGGCCGGAAACGTCGCGCCTGACTCGGAGCGGAATCGGATCGCGGATCGGGCTCGGCCCCTGCAGGCAGGACAGGGCATCGGATTGTGCCGGCTCGGCGGGATCGAAATCGGAATCGAGGTCCGGGGATCGGATCGGACCGGACCGTCAGCAGCCCTGGAGCGGCCAGGGGCGCTCTTGTCAGGGCGCGGCCCCACGGGGCCTCTTGCAGCTGCCGGGTGAACGCGGTGTGGGCGAAGCAGGTCCAGCCGCCCCTGAGGCCCAGCAGAGGCACAAGTCGGCGGTGAGCCCAGGGAGGAAGTGAGCGGGGGCAGGCTTTCTCAGAAGGCGAGGGAGCTTCTCAGAAGCCCTTCGGCCTTCTAAAGAGTTCTCTCGGGGAAGGCTTGGACAGCTTCTCTTGGGCCCGAGGCCTCCCGCAACTTCTGAGTCGGCCTGCCCCGTCTCACTTCCTCCCCCAGGGGCTCGCCGCCGCACAAGAGGTTGGGTGCCACAGGAGATCGCAAGGCCAGCGCGCGTCGTGACGGCTTGCGCGCTGGCTTCTCCAACACCGCTTGGAGCGGCCAACCCTGAGCGACCGTGCAGCGCAGATCGTTGGGTGTCGGCCGATTCCCGACCCCCGGCCACGTTCCACCTGGAGCGCCCGCGCTGGGGCCGCCGCCGCATCGGCGCGGCGCGAGCCTACCGCAGGCGGCCTGGCTTCACGGTCCGCGCCAAGCGGGGCGCGAGGCGAGAGTGGCCTCGCGCTCTCGCGCCGCCGTCTGGGAAGAAACAACGCTCTGGACTCGACCGCGGGGCGCGCGGCGCGCCTTAGCCTCGTGAGCCCCGAGGGTGAGCCCGGAGATCGGACCCCTCGGTTGGCACAACCTCCTGGGACTGCTCGGCTGGCACCTCCTGCTGCCCAGGGTCTCGCGACGCCCCGATGTTGTACGGAATCCACACCAACGCCCTGACAGAATGATTTCTTCTGGCTGCGCCGGAATGCCTGTTGGTGATGCACCTCGCAGAGTCGTAGCTATCCCTGCTGATCGGCACCTCGTACTCGAAGTGCTCGGCCAATTCGCAGGCCGTCTCTCCCTTGGGGTCCAGATAGATCACCAGGAAAGTCTCGTCCCCGTCGACGCTGGAGAAGGAGGAGAAAGCGAGACCGCTTCTGCAGAGGAGATCAAGGATCTTCTGCCTCACTATCTCGTGGTATCTCGCCGCGGCCACAGAATCGGAACCGAGCCCCTCTACCTCCTGGTCCTTGGGCTGCACGAAGATGCGCCGTGCTTGCTCCAGCGGTTTCTTGATCCGCTTGTCGGTGACCACGATGCCGGGCTCGCGCGCGCGGGTGAACACGAGAACATATGTAGCCTCTTCACTGTCGATGACGGTGTTCATCCTGCGGGCCCGGCCCCCGTGACCTCCTGCTGGTCGTGGAGTGACGCATGAGCAACGAGAAAAGAACAAAGGGAGAAGGGACGACGAGATGAAGACTCATCCCCCTCCTGCTCGTCATCCTCCTCATCATCATCCATCACCGCCACCACCACCACCAGCATCATCATCAGCAGCATCATTATCAGCATCAGCATCCAGGCAGGTCCCATTATCGCCCGACTGAATGCAGGGCGCTAATAAGCACGAGCAACGATTACCACATGTGTGAAAATATACATATATACCCACATATATAAACATCATACATACATACATATATAAAAACATATATAGGTTTTGCCCACCGTGGACCCCAGACCTGGTAGTTCTAGCCTATATGGTATGCAGAGGCTGGCGTGGGAATACTATTGGTGCATCGCAACCTTATGCTGGGCAGTGGCAAGTGGTGGCGGCTATGAGGTATGACATATGATACGTGGTGCATCAGATGTTGTGAAATATAGGGCGCGCAGTTCACAGTGTGCCATATATACGAATATATTATAGTATATATATATATATTATATAATAAAATGTTATGTGTGGTACAATCTATGTGGTGCAATCCACTCTGCTGAACTTGAAGTCGTCATTTCCACTGCTCGCGCAAACATCCCATTCACCCACCCGCAACTTGATTTGCAAAACCTGTTCAGACCGACTACGACGACACCGACGACAACGACTAGGACGACACCGACGACGTCTCCGACGACTTCGACGACGACAACGACGCCGACGACGACGAAGACGACGACGATACGACCGACCGACCGAAACGAACGCGAACGACGATGGAGGAGGAAGGACGACGACGGCGACAACGACGGTCAAAACGCGACAAAGCCTAGGGAGGAGGGAGGACGGCGACGACGCGAACGACGACGAAGGAGGAAGGACGGCGACGCCGACGACGACAACGTAAACGCGAGGGAGGGGGAGACGACGGACGACAGCGACAACGACTACGGCGACGAAATAGGAGGGACACGACCGAACTAGCGACGACGGAACAGACGACTGAACGTACGACGTGCGGCCACAGGAAGGACGAACCACGGCGCGCGCGCGAACAACGACGACGGAAACGACCACGACGCCAAAGAGGACGACGACGACGAACATAGGAAAGACAGAGGACGACGTATGCGACGACGACGACGACGCGGGAGGAGGGAGGACGGCGACGACGACGACGACGACGACGACGACGACGACGACGACGACGACGACGCAAGAGCGCGCGCGCGCGCACGCTTTTGCTGAAAGTCCGTGTTGCGAAACCTTGGGTTTTTGTACGATTTTTGAACGCACGATTTTGAAATCCTTCCGAAACCGATGGGTTTTGAAGGTTTTCGGCATACGCCCGCGACGACGCGCGCGTCTGCACTACGTCCCATTTGTTGCAGAGGATTCTCGCGACGGCACACGCGCAAGGGCGTTCGACAGATTTCGACATGCGCGCGCGAAGCCTGTTTGGTAGCATGTTGTGAAAATCTTGGGAAACACTATGGTTTTCTTGAGATTTCGCAAGAGCTCGCGCGGAAGCTTTTTTAGCAAATCAGTGTTGCGAAACCCTGTGTGTTTGTATGTGTTTTGGAAACTCGATTGCGAAATCCTTCCGGCACCGAAGGTTTTTGAAGGATTTCGGCATGCGCGCGCGACGACGCGCGCGTGCTCACTTCGTCCCATTTTCCGCAAGGGATTCGCGAAAAAAGTGCTATGTTAGAACAATGATGTCACCACATAGTGCTTTTTTACAAGGGAACCTCAGGGGGGGGGAACCCGGTTTGGCTGGGATGATATGATTTCATACTTAGGATGGACGAGTGTGCAGAATATTTATATATATATATGAAATTATACTATCCCAGGGGGAAGCGATAAGTCCGGGGGGGGTAGAGTCTATTCTCTTTTTAGAAAGGAGAATCAATCACTTGCTCAACTTGAAGCTGTCCTCTCCACTGCGCGTGCAAACATCCCACCCTCCCACCCGCAACTTGGTCGCAAGACCTCTTAAGACAAGACCGTAACGGTGGGTACCAGATGGCACTTGGCCACGACACCGACGACGACAGCGACGACGACGACGACGGCGCCGCCGGCACCGACGACGTCTCCAACGACTTCGACGACGATAGCGACCACGACGACGACGACAACGACGACGACGTTGCCGACGACGACGACGACGACAACGACGACGACGACGCCGACGACGACGACGCCGACGACGACGACGCCGACGACGACGACGAAGACAACGACGACGACGACGACGACGACGACGACGACGACGACAACGACGTCGCCAACGAAGACGACGACGAGGGAGGAGGGAGGACGACGACGGCGACAACGACGACAACGACGACAACGACGAGGGAGGAGGGAGGACGGCGACGACGCGAACGACGAATAAGGAGGAAGGACGGCGACGCCGACGACGACAACGACGAGGGAGGAGGGAAGACGACGACGACGACAACGACGACGACGACGACGACGACGACGGCTACGAAATAGAGGACGCCGACTAGACGAACGACGACGGAACGACACGACTCGAAATCGGCGGCTATTGTACACCAGTGCTTGTAAGAAGGCGTCTGAGGAAGGACGACCACGGCGACAACGACGACGGAAACGACCACGACGCCAACGAGGATGACGACGACGAGCACGAGGAAAGACAGAGGACGACGTAGGCGACGACGACGACGACAACGCGGGAGGAGGGAGGACGGCGACGACGACGACGACGACGACACAAGAGCGCGCGCGCACGCTTTTGCTGAAAGTCCGTGTTGCGAAACCTTGGGTTTTTGTACGATTTCGGCATACGCGCGCGACGACGCGCGCGTCTGCACTTCGTCCCATTTTTTGCAAAGGATTCTCGCGACGGCACACGCGCAAGGGCGTTCGACAGATTTCGACATGCGCGCGCGAAGCCCGTTCAATAGCATGTTGTGAAAACCTTGAAAAACCTTTTTGGTTTTCGTAGAATTTCGCAAGAGCTCGCGCGGAAGCTTTTTTAGCAAATCAGTGTTGCGAAACCCTGTGTGTTTGTATGTTTTTTGGAAACTCGATTGCGAAATCCTTCTGGCACCGAAGGTTTTTGAAGGATTGCGGCATGCGCGCGCGACGACGCGCGCGCGCGCGCACTTCGTCCCATTTTTTCGCAAGGGATTCGCGAAAAAGTGCGATGTTAAAACAAAAAAGTCACCGCATAGTGTTTTTTACAAAGGGAACTTCAGGGGGGGATACCAGCCCCCCGGGGATAAGTAAATTCATATTTAAGATGGACATGTGGTCAGAATCATGCATGATTGACATACCCGAAAAGTGAACCGATAACGCCGGGAGGGGGTGGCAGATCCTATTCTGTTTTTAGAAAGGAGAATTAATCCCATCAGCCCTCTGGGCGCAGGTGGTCTAGGGAGGCCCCTCTTCCCCCCACGGTGTGCTACCCACGGGGTGCCTTGATCACTGGTCCTTGTGAATATACAACCCCCTCCCCCAAGCGACAGGAGGCCAACCCGACACCACGCCGACACCATGCCGACGCCATGCCGACCCGCCCCCCGCCATCCCTTTCAAAAAACAATACAAACCGCACTATGCCTCCACATTTGGAGCACGCGCGTCCAACCCGATGCGCCCCCCCCCCCCCGCCACCATCCCCGACAAAAAAAAAACAATGCGAAGTACACGTTGGGGCAAAGTCTTGAGACATGTTCGCGAGGCCCTCCGCGGGATCGCGCTAGTATCACATGATCGATACTGGGCCCCGCAGGGCCTCGAGAGGATCTCTTTTCACCTCAGGGCGCTAGAGCCAGAACGGTTGCGGCAACGTCAAACGCTGAAAAATCAGTCGAGCCTTAAACCCGGTCCGAAACAACTATCGTTCCAAATGTGTGCTAAGCATATCCGAAGCATTTCGAGGGGGAGTGTTTCTGCACTGCACTCCTCCTTGGCCCTGGGCCTAGCCTGGGGCACATCAACTGAACAGAAGCCGCCCTGGGCCATCCTAGCTCAAACACAAGATCTGGCACCTTCGCCCGCGGGCCTATCTCGTTTCTCCTCCGAGGGCCAGCGCCGCGACGCTTGGCTTCATCCTCTCGCGCCCTCGAGCTCGCGCGAGAAGGAAAAGCAAACGGGCGACGCCAGCTCGCGCAGCTGCGTCGCAAACGCAAAGAGACGGCGCCACCGCACCAGAAGAACCATTCACTTGCGCCCTGCTCCGATGAGCAGGTCCACGATCATCTGCGCCTTGAGCTGGCCGTGGAAGATCCTCAGGCGCTCGCACTCCGCTCTAAGGTCCACTGCGCTCCACGCCCAGTAGCGCGGCACGGGCGCCGTCTGCGTGTGCCGGCTTGGCCGCCAGCAGTCCTCGATCTCCAGCCCGTCGGTTGGCTGCTCATGCTCCTCCTCAACCGGTGGACGCGCCACCAGTACGTTCTCGCCCTCGTCGGCCTTCACGAGCCCCCACAAGCCCTTCAGGAACCGCAACGGCGCCTTGTATATACGGCACACGATCCACGTCGCCAGGAATGCGATCGCCAACGTCGAGCCGAACATCACTGTGAGCATCGTCGTCCAGGTCCGCTCCGCCACGGTCGAACTGCCCACCACCATCACCGCCTGGTTGCATGGAAAGACTGCCGAGCCCTGAACTCCACCGAGCATGGCGGCCGCCAGCATGACTCCGAACACCTGCATGCGCCCTGAGGACGGTGTCCGATGTGGAAGGGACGCCAGCAGCTTCAGGAATCTCGGCCCTTCCAGCGGCTTTGTCTGCATGTCGGCCCTGTTGACATCCACGTGGATCTTCGCCATCGTGATGGTCCGATCCCTGACCTTCTCCTGCACCCAGAGGTACTTCGTCTCCAGGTGGCGCACCTTGCCACATCCGAGGCGCGATGCAACGCCCTTGGCCCCAGAGCTGCCCGCGTTGACCTGCAGCGTCACTTCGAAGCCCATCTCCAACATCACGCTGCGGAGCCAAATGCCCCCCGCCGATCCGTTCACCATGCCCGTGAACTCCGCCTCGGCGCTGCTCAGGGCGCGGCGGCCCTGCTGGCCGCTCCAGCCGTCGATCAGGTGCGAACCGATGAACAGGAAGCCACCGTCCATGGAACTCCGACCAGGCTCTGATGCCCAGTCGCTGTCGACCTCCGCCACGATAACCTTCGGCATCCTCTGGAGATCGAAGACGAGCTCGAACTGCGGGTGCTGCTCCACGGCCACGCCTTCAAGCAGCAGCCAATGGTGCCAAGTCGGTGCCACCATGCCCCTCATGAGGTAGCCGACGGCTTGCTGATGTCGAAGCGGTCGTGTGCGACGTAGAGTGCGGTAGGCGCCATGCTGCGGTAGATGGCCGCGTACTCCGTGCTGAGCTCGTCGGATGACTCTCTGCAGTCCTTCCCGGTTGTCTTGGAAGACGGGGTGATCGTGCGCTTGGTGGTGTTGCTCTCGCCGGTCTTCCTGCTGAGCATGGTGCTGACCAGGATCTCCACATGCTTGCGATCGTGCAAGATGCGCTGTGCGCTTAAGGAAGCTGCCTAACTCAACTCAGCAGGCGCTCCTTGTGGTAGTAGACTTGAACCGTCACCTTAATGCGGACGAAGCCTCCTTTCTCCATGACCCCCATGATCAGGTTCTGAAACAAGAACGAGGTCCTCCTGGTGCCGCAGAGTGCCCTCCTCAGCTGGTACACGATGCCTTCGGGCTCCTCTCCCTTGGGCGGCGCCACCGACACGTCGTAGAGAGCGAGCATGCCGTCGCAGCCGATCCCCATGGAGTAGAGGCTTGATGCGAAGGAGACCACCAGCCTGAACGCGGCCAGCAGCGGCATGCCTGCGAAAATGTCGTCCCGCACGTCCCAGGCGAACTGCATGGCCACGAAGCGCGACCTGACCGACTCCCTGCCGTCGTCGTCGTAGCGCCCATCGTCGACCCACTTCCAGCGGACGCGCTTGCCATTCGCGAAGTTTTGAGGCACGCGGTCGAAGACCTGGAACTCCTCCATCTGCCTGTGCTCCTTATCCCTGCCCTGCTTCACCAAGGAAGGGCCCAGCCTCCTGCCTGACCTAGCCCCGAACACGTTCTGGCATGGCGACTCCCTGTCGTAGAGGCTGTGCTTGTTGGCGTCCGTTTCGCTGTCGTAGGGAATGGCGCCGCACGTCAGCGCCAGCACTGCGGTCGCCACGTGGACAAACAGGCCCGCGATCACCTTCTGCTTCCTCCTCGGCTTCTCCGTCGCCACGGTCCCGTTCCAGTCCATCTTGATCGTCCCGAGCACCATTCCGTCCTGCTGCTCTTGCGCTGGAGGTTTCTCCTGCATCGGATCCGCGGGGGCATCTGCCTCAAGTCGACGCCTGCGAGGTCGCCCGCCTTGATCTGCCTCTGGGCCATGCAGGACAGCAGGCGGCGCTGGAGCCGATGCTGCTGGTGCAGGTTGCTCGTCGGCGGGCGCAGGCTGAGCAGGCTGATATCCTCCTCCTGGGGGCGCTGCAGCTGCTGCGGAGGCGGCTGCTCGAACTGCCTCCTGCATGTCTTTCTCCTCCTCTTCCTTCAGCAGGCTCTCGATCCGGTCTCTGCAGGACTCGGTGCGCGGGTGACCAAGCCCGTAGCTGCCGTCGCAACCAGGCGCAGGTCCAACTCGATCGATGATGGCCCTCGCGATGCAGCGGCGGCGCGGGGGAGGCGGCGCTGCCCCAGGTCCTGCGCGAGCGTCCCACGGCATGCACTCGACCTTGTTGAACAGGCTCCTGGACCATCGCTGGTCCTCAACTCGCCCGTTAATCGTTCTCGCCGTCTTCCGACCAGCAGCGGTCGCTAGGAGGTGCTCGCCCGTGCGGTTGTCCTTCCCGGCCCAGACGGCTTTGCCCCAGCGGATCTCCGCCTTGCGGTGGGCCACGTTCTGGATCTGATACATCACCGTCTCGCCGGACTCGCAGATCGCTCCTCCGCGCGCGCGCGGCCCTTCAGGTGCTGGTAGCGCGTGAGGCCATCATCCTTCACTGGGTATCTTGATGAGAGCCATCCTGCATGCCGAATCATCCAGCCCATGATCCAATGGCTCAAGGTGAGCTAGGCGCTGTACCTCGGCTCGCTCGGTGCCCTCAGCGCGCGGAACATGCCTTCAACCATCTTGTTGGCGTTCTCGATCGCCCCCTTGCTCTTGGGGCCTCGCCTAGGTCCGCTGCAGGGAACTGTCTCTTCCTCTCGAGCCAGCTGCACGGCTCGGACCAAGGCTTGGACAGCGGGCTCTCAATCAGATCCAAGAAGAACGCGGTCGAGGCCCCACATGCGCATCGCCGCCGTCGTCACTGCTACTGCATAGTCCGCAGGCCCCTTCACGGCCATCTGCGCGCACCCGATCGCGCCCGACTGGTACTCCAGGATGTTCAGTACCGCCGCGAGGGGGTCGCCTTCGACGTCGCCGAGGAACAAGTAGTCGACGCAGACCAGCGGGATCAGGCGGCCGGGGTCCGCTAAGCGCGTGCGAGGGCCCTCCTGGCCACGGCCCATGATGCAGAACAAACACCACGTGCGGAAGGGCCAGTGCGTGCGACGATGCTGGTCTCGAACCGCTCGATCTGGCATCACTGGGATCCCTGTCGCCTTAGCCGCCGCGGCTTCTCCAGAAACCCGCAGTAGCGCTCCGTCTTCTCGCTGTCGTCGATCGCCCTCACGTTGATCTCCTTCCTGGTCTGGCTGAGCCTTGCCATCGCCGGCAGCTGGCGGCGCCGGCGGAGGTGGCGGTGCCGGTGGATCGACGTCGGCCTCGGGCTCTGCATCTCTCTCGTCAGAGGTGCTTCGTGCGGAACACCTCGGGCCTCAGTGTTCGGCTGCACGGGGTTGACGAGGATCGGCTCGGCGACGTTCTCGACGGGCCTCGTGATCCTGAGCCAGAACGCCCCCCCCTCTCCTGTACAGCTTGATCTCGCGGCCGTCCGCGAGCAGGATGTAGGGGTCCTCGCCGAGGATCGGGACATGACCTCCATCCGTGAAGGCGTCGGCGCTCACGATGGCGCACCTCACTTTCGTGACCTGGAACTCGATCTGAAGAGGTACTCCGTCGCTCTCGGCTGCAAGAATCCTCGCGCCCATGGACGTGACCTCGTCGCCAGTCGCCGACTCGCAAAGCGGCAGCTTCTTGGGCGGAAGCATCTCGGTCATGTTCGCGAACTCCTGCGGGCAGGTGGTGAGCCCTGAGCCTGTATCAAAGAGCGCCCAGTCGAACTCCACCGAGTCGCCGACCGCCACTGGCAGCGCATCGCACTGCGTCGTGGCGCACATCACGTCGACCTGCCAGTAGTACTCCGCAAGCGTCGGGATGTCAGCGTCGCCTGCCACCTGGATGTTCGCGATGTGAACGGTAGCGCTCGTCGAAGGTGGACTCCGCTGCTGTTGCAACTGCATGTGGGCTAGGACTGCTGCCACGTGAGACACGTCGATCGCGGGGGCCAAGCTGCTCTGCGAGTCAGTGCTGCCCCCTTTCAGCGCCGTCGTTGCCGTCGAGGCGGAAGGCCGCACCTGGGTCGCGTCTGTCAGCAATGCGACCTTCCTGCCCTTCTTCTCGTCCGCCTTCTTCTTGCGGCAGTCGGCCGCGAGGTGGCCAGCCTTTCCGCAGTAGTGGCAACTGCGGGTCTCTCGATCCTTGCCCTTGGAGTCGCCCTTCTTCCTCTTGGAGTCGCCCTTCTTCCCCTTGGAGTCGCCTTTCTTTCCTTTGCCGTCCTTGCCTTTGCCCTTGCCGTTTTTGCCCTTGCCTTCACCGGTTGCATCGACCTGCGTCGGCACTACGCCGTCGCCTCCAGAATCCGCTGCTGCCCAACGTCGCTGCGATGAGGAAATCGTCTTCAGCTCCATCTTCAGGTCATCGCACGTGACCAAGAGCGAAGCATTCAAGCTGAGGGGCTCCGCCAGCTTCTCGTTCTTGATGCCCGACATGATCGCACCCTGCTTCATGTTGTCCGAACTCACTTCGCCGCTCTGGTCCGCGCACTCCCTGACGAGCTGCTCGAACTCCGCCAAGTTCGTCATCACGGGATCCGCAAACTCGTATATAATGATCCGACCTAGCATGGCCGCGAACCTGTTCGCCCCCCTCGGCGCGAACTCTCGAAGCAGGCGCCACCACGCAGCGAGCCCGTCTCCTCGCGGGGCTTTCCTGACCTCGACCTTGGCCACATCCGACGTCACCGAGACCAGGATGTAGTACAACTGTGTGTTGAGTGTGGCGCCCAGCTCGGTCTGCGCCGCCAGCACACCCGCCGTTCTCGACGCCTGCTTGAGCAGGTCCCCTAGTCGGGAGTGAGCGAACACGTAGGCCTCGAAGTCCAACGACCATATCTTCCACTCCGAGTGCAAGCCTGTGAACGTCCGCGGCTTGTTCAGCAGTCTCGCGCCCACGACCTGTCCGCTGCTCGGACCGGGTGCTGCTGCTGCGGCTGTGCCGCCGTCGCGGTCTCCAGCGCGCCGCTCGCCCATCGCCAAACGCTGCTCCGCGGCGTGCAGTCTCCGCCGCAGATTCTCGTTCTCCGCAAGCACCTCGCGGCGTCGTGTCACCTCGCCCTCCATGGGACGCACGCGCTCCGTGAGGGCCTCCATCGCCGCGGATCCCGCCACGGCAGCGTGACCGAGGATCACAGGGACACGGAAGGTGATCCTGCCTCGGCCACGCTCCGCTACCATCCGCGGAATCGCGCTAGTATCAGATGATCGATACTGGGCCCCGCAGGGCCTCGAAAGGATCTCTTTTCACCTCAGGGCGTTAGAGCCAGAACGGTTGCGGTAACGCCAAACGCTGAACCATCACTCGAGCCTTAAACCGGATCCGAAACAACTATCGTTCCAAACTGTGGTGTGGTGTTGGGTCCTCGTTTTGAAGTGACAGCGCCCCGCGTCCATTCCTTCCTTCCTTCCTCTCCTCCTCCTCCACCCTCCTCCCCCCCCCTCCCCCTTCCTTCCCATCCTTGCTTCGTTTCGTAGCCCCACAGAGAGCTCCACCGCAGGCCCCAGTGGGGGGGCCCGCATGCGGTTCCCCCGCCCAAGACAACGTTTCGCGGCCCCACAGGGAGCTCCACCGAAGGCGGCGTGCCCGCATGCGGTTCCCCCACCCAGGGCAGCGCTCCGTGGCCCCATAGGGAGCTCCACCGAAGGCCCCAGTGGGGGTGCCCGCATGCGGTTCCCCCACCCAGTGCAGCGCTTCGTAGCCCCATAAGGAGCTCCACCGAAGGCCCCAGTGGGGGCGCCCGCATGCGGTTCCCCCACCCAGGGCATCGCTTCGCGGCCCCATAGGGAGCTCAACCGAAGGCCCCAGTGGGGGTGCCCGCATGCGGTTCCCCCACCCAGTGCAGCGTTTCGTGGCCCCACAGGGAGCTCCACCGCAGGCCCGAGTGTGGGTGCCCGCATGCGGTCCCCCCACCCAGGGCATCGCTTCGCGGCCCCATACGCAGCTCCACCGAAGGCCCCAGCGGGGGCGCCCGCATGCGGTTCCCCCACCCAGGGCAGCGTTTCGTGGCCCCACAGGGAGCTCCACCGCAGGCCCCAGCGGGGGTGCCCGCATGCGGTTCCCCCAACCACTCAGCGTTTTCGTCGAGCCCCACAGGGAACTCCACCGCAGGCCCCAGTGGGGGTGCCCGCATGCGGTTCCCCCACCCAAGGCAACGTGTCGTGGCCCCACAGGGAGCTCCACCGTAAGCATCAGTGGGGGTGCCCGCATGCGGTTCCCCCACCCAGGGCAGCGCTATGTGGCCCCATAGGGAGCTCCACCGAAGGCCTCAGCGGGAGTGCCCGCATGCGGTTCCCGTGTGGCCAGGCAGCGTTTTTTTTTGTTTTCCCTGTTGTTTCCCCTTCTTTTTTCTCGGTTTTTTTTTGTTTTTTTTTTTGTTCGTTGTTTTTATTTTTTTTTTCGTTTTTTTTTTTTCGCGTCGTGGCCCCCGTGGCCCCACAGGGGAACACCATAGCATCATGGGGGTGCCCGCATGCGGTTCCCCCACCCAGTGCAGCGCTTTGTAGCCCCATAAGGAGCTCCACCGAAGGCCCCAGTGGGGGCGCCCGCATGCGGTTCCCCCACCCAGGGCATCGCTTCGCGGCCCCATAGGGAGCTCAACCGAAGGCCCCAGTGGGGGTGCCCGCATGCGGTTCCCCCACCCAGTGCAGCGTGTCGTGGCCCCACAGGGAGCTCCACCGCAGGCCCGAGTGTGGGTGCCCGCATGCGGTTCCCCCACCCAGGGCATCGCTTCGCGGCCCCATACGCAGCTCCACCGAAGGCCCCAGCGGGGGTGCCCGCATGCGGTTCCCCCACCCAGGGCAGCGTTTCGTGGCCCCACAGGGAGCTCCACCGCAGGCCCCAGCGGGGGTGCCCGCATGCGGTTCCCCCACCACTCAGCGTTTCGAGGCCCCACAGGGAACTCCACCGCAGGCCCCAGTGGGGGTGCCCGCATGCGGTTCCCCCACCCAAGGCAACGTGTCGTGGCCCCACAGGGAGCTCCACCGTAGGCATCAGTGGGGGTGCCCGCATGCGGTTCCCCCACCCAGGGCAGCGCTATGTGGCCCCATAGGGAGCTCCACCGAAGGCCTCAGCGGGAGTGCCCGCATGCGGTTCCCCCGCCCAGGGCAGCGTTTCGTGGCCCCACAGGGAACTCCACCGTAGGCATCAGTGGGGGTGCCCGCATGCGGTTCCCCCACCCAGGGCAGCGCTTCGTGGCCCCACAGGGAGCTCCACCGTAGGCCACAGTGGGGGTGCCCGCATGCGGTCCTCCAACCCAGGCCAGCGCTTCGTGGCCCCATAGGGAGCTCCACCGAAGGTCTCAGTGGGGGTGCCCGCATGCGGTTC